GGAGACTGGATAAAGAAAATGTGGTTTTTTAATAAAATGGAGTACTACTTAGCCATCAAAAATGAGAAATTAGAGACATTTATAGCTAAGTGAATGCACATTGAGGTGATACTCTTAAGTGAAATAAATAGGACACAGATGAGTAAATACCGATTAGTTTCTCTAGTGTGAGAAACTGAAAGTGTAAATAAGGACTAAAAGGTACAGTAGATAATGTGAAATGGGAAGAAAAGGGGCAAAGGGGAAGGGGAAGTGTGAGGGGTAGGGGAAAGGAAAGAAGGGAATGGACTTAATATGAGAAAATGAAAAGAGGAAAGTTTGTAAATAGGGAGGGATGAAGGAGTTGAAGGGAGGGCAGAGGAAGGGGGAAAAATAAGAACCAAGAGAGATTATGTAAAGTGCAAATTTCCGATGATGAATGTCATTATATTGTATGCCTAAATTATACCACTAAAATAAAAGTTGCAAAAAAAAAAGAAAAAGAAATTTTCATTTAATGGATATCAGCTATAGTTTTCCTACTCTGTTACAGAAGTTATTTCTCCTATGAAAGCCTCCTTTGGTCATCTTTATCCTGTAGAATGATAAGAGTTACTTTTTATTTCTCTGACTTATGTTGCTTTTGGTGTTTGGTAGTTTATTCTTGCAGGTATTTCCAGGGCTAGAGATAAGGTACAAACTTTTTGTTTATTCAACAAAATAATTTTTATTATCTACTATGTGACAGCAATATAGTAGGCTCTGCAGGGAATAACACAGACAGGAATCTCTGTCCTCACAATATTTATATTCCAGGGGAGGGAGAAATGGACAGTTAACAAAATAAAATATATTGCATATCAAATGGTGATGTGCACCCCAGGGGAAAATCCAGTCAGCAGCTGGGCAGTGCCTAAAAAAAACCAAAAAACAAAATAGCATTTACATGTACAGTTGAAATATTTGCAAATATGTAGGAATTCAATCAATCAATTATTAATCAAGTGCTCCATCTGGAGAAAGTTCTCCAGGGAGTCATACCACATCATTCCCAACAGAAACTTTAAGATTGTTTTCAGTTTTTCTACAGGCACAAGAGAGAAAACAGTGGTAAGCAAATAAACCTCACAGTATATTTAATAAAATGTATAATGATGTACAGGAAGTCCTCCACCTACGAAGTTTCAAGTTGTGAACTTTTACAGGTGCACTGTGTATGACCGTTGGATTACAACTATATCAGATTTAGGAATGTACTCCCAGAATGGAATTCACTTGTAAGTCAGGGACTTACTGTATATCAACTTACATTTGTGTTCTGTACATTTCTTAAAAGTTTGCAAAAAAAACCAAACTTTATTGGCTGGGCATTTAGCTCAGTGGTTCTGCTGCCTGCCTCACAAGCGCAAGGTCCCAAGTTCAATCCCTGGTACCCCTGCCTCCTGCAAAAAAAAGTTTGCAGTTGATTCAGAAGCTACATTTAACTCAGGTTCTGTCCCTTTAGCAAAATCCTAGGTGATGTTCTGTTCCAGTATTTATACTAGATGTGTATACAGTAATTTTTGATTGCCTTTTTATAAAAATAGCCAGATTGTTTAGTTCTAGCTCCATTCATTACTGGAGGTTGCAAAATGGTGATATCCTGACATTCTGTTTCAATCATAGTTAGGATACCTTACTTAGAGGTGCTCCTCTTCATCACTTTGGTTAAAAGATGTTCAGTTCTTCTCAGTTTCCCATTTACAAGAAAATGATTTGGTTCTCTTTTGTATTTTTGGAGTATGTCCTTATAAACTCAGGTAGCTCAATATGTACAGTGGTTTTACACGTCACTGTAATTATTATTATCATTTTTTTTAGGCAGTACTGAGGCCTGGCACATGCTAGACAAATGCTCTACCACTGAGCTACATCATCAGCCCTTTTTATTTCTCGCTTTTTTGGGGGCTGGTACTGGGGATCAAACTTGAACTCAGGACCTTGTGCTTGCAAGGCAGGCACAGTGCCACTGAGCTAAATCCCTGGCCCTTTTATTTCTCATTTCGGACAGTGTCTTGCTAAGGCTGGGTTGGAATTTGCAGTCCTCCTAGAAGAGCTTCCTGAGTAACTGAGATTATAGGAATGTAGTTCCTACCATGCCCTGTGCAATTGTTTTTGTTGAAGTTCGAATAGTCTCATCTTTCAATAGTGGTGTCAAAGAAAGTTACAAGATCTTGATAATCTTCAGCTGGTAAAAAGGATAGTGTGTTTTGCTTTGCTTTGTTTTGCTTTTCTAAAAGTCTGAGAATGTTTTCTGTGTCTTTGGAAAGATGGATTTTAGGGATCAATTTTTTTCCTAGGATATGTGGAACTTAGTGGTACAATCTCTGTGTGTGTGTGTGTGTGTGTGTGTGTGTGTGTGTTACTCGGGATCGAACCCAGGGCCTTTGTACTGAGCTACACCCCTAACCTTTTTATTTTTTACTTTGAAACAGGGTCTGGCTAAGTCACACTGAGCTGCCCAGACTGGTCTGAAACTTTCAATCCTCCTTCCTCAGCCTCCCAGAATGCTGGAATTATAGGCATACACCATTACACAAACTAGTGATACAATTTTGATACAACTGTATCTTTGATAGTTTGATATAATTTTTAGGTAGGTGTCTTAGAACTGTTACAGTATTTGCAAAGAATAATGGTTTTATTTCTTAGTGTGTGTGGAAACTTAAAAGGAATCATTGGCTCAGTGTGGTAGTGCACACCTATAGTCCCAGAGCTCTGGGAAGCTGAGGTTGGATTAAAAATTTGAGCCCTAAAAATAAGAACCAAGATACATCATGTAAAGGTACAAGTTCCCAATGAGAATGTAAATGTATTATATACCTAAAATATACCAATAAAAGAATAAAAAAAAAAATTGAGCCCAGCCTAGGCAGTTTAGCAACTCAGCAAGACCTTGTCTCAAAAAATAAAAAAGTACTGGAAATGGAACTCAGTACAACAGTGCTGGCTTCAATCCTTAATGCTGCAAAAAATTCAATAAATAAATAAAAATTTAGAAAAGGACTAGGAATGTAACTCAGTGAGAATGCCCTGGGTTTATTCTGCAAAAAAGAGGGGGAAAAATAATCTTTATCCAGCAATAGAGATAGAGACATACGTTTGAATGTCTTACTCAGTCAATAAATATTTTAATGCTTGCATTGAGCCAACTCCACAGTAGAAACACTGGAAAATTAATCACAAAACCTACTTAATAATTTATGTTTCAATCAGCTGTCAGGACTGATTTTAAAGTTAATTTATTTCATCTTTCAGATTTATCACGAAATCGCCTCTCAGAAATTCCTATAGAAGCATGTCATTTTGTTTCCCTTGAAAATCTCAACTTATACCAAAATTGCATTCGGTATATTCCAGAAGCAATTCTAAACTTACAAGCACTAACATTCTTAAATATTAGGTAAGAATATTGTTTCTTTAAAAAAATCTTTTTTTGTTTTATATTGTCTTCCATTTTCACATCTCTGTCACTTAAATGTTTATGGATATTTATGTTATCTGTTCATATTAGCAGTTTCTGTGTATGTTTTTAGGATATATTGAATCATTTCTTCTAATTTCTCTCTTTACTTTTGGCTTAACAATAACAAACCCTAATAGCTATTAGCCAAGGTAACTTGCAGAAGTCTTGTAACAGTGATTCTCAGTGATTACATTTTCAAATTAATTCAAATTAATTTCATCAAGTAAGAATAATAGATCTGAAATTACTTCATTTGATTCTTTTTTTTTGGTACTGGGGATCGAACTCGGGTCATTTGCGCTTGTGCAGCAGGCGGCGAAACCACTGAGCTAAATCCCCGGCCCTCTTCATTTGATTCTTGTGACTGAATTTTTTTGTATTAAGTTCTGAATATATAAATGCATAAATATATTTAGTCAATTCACCTCCATTTTTTTACACCTTGTAAGAGCTGTGTTTTATTTCACAGACATTTCAAAGGTTAAAAAGCTAATTGGAAGGCCAAGGATTTAGCTTAGTGGTGCCGCACCTGCCTCGCAAGTGCAAGATTCTGAGTTTGATTCCTGGTGGTGGGGGGGGAGCTAATTGGAGAAAATGCACAAATACAGAAAAGTATAAATTTATCAAAATGGTGTATCTGAGTTATGTAATTATAGAAGATTTTCAAGGCTTTTAGTCAAAAAGTTTAAAGCATTTTCTCATTGTCGTATAATATCCTTTGGAAATATTTTATAGGATATCATTTATTGCAATCTTATATACTTTTTAAACCCTGTTTTCCTGAGATGCTTAGTTTTTGCCAGTTTTTTGCTTTTGTTTTCATATATGGTACTGGGAATTGAACCCAGGGCCTTTGCACTGAGTTACATCCCCAGCTATTGGTTTTGTTTTGTTTTGCTTTTGGTACAGAATCTCACTGTGTATTCTGGCAACAGAGTTAGAGGCATATGTTGAAATGACTTAGTCAATTAATAAATATTTTAAGCCTTACATTGAAGCAACTCCACTTGAACTCACCATGTAGCCTAGGCTGGCCTCCAACTCATTGTGATCCTCCTGCCTCAGCCTCCTGAGTGTTAGGATTATAAGCGTGTGCCCCAGCCTTTTTTAAATTTAAAATTTTTAATTTTGAGATAGGATCTTGCTAAGTTGCCCACGTTGGGCTGGAACTTGCCGTCCTCTTGGCTCAGCCTGCCAGAGTGCTGGGTAACAGGTGTGCACCCCCACACCCAGCTACAAAAATACTTAGTTTATGGTTGAAGAATCTTCATACAAATCAATAGATTCAGTGCTATGCCTGAACCTACAAAACTGACAATTGCCAAATGAAGACTAGAATGCAAATCTCTTAACCTGTTTGTTCCTTGTAAGATTTATGTTTGAGTCTAGAATGAAAGAGGAAAATTTTCTTCAGTGGTAGCATCTGACTTCTCTTTTCTTACTTACCCATTTAGTCGGAACCAACTGTCAACATTACCAGTACACTTGTGTAATTTACCATTGAAAGTCTTAATTGCTAGTAATAACAAATTGGTCTCACTTCCAGAAGAAATTGGACGCCTCAGACAGTTGACAGAACTTGTAAGTTAATATTTTAATTTTTGACTGTTTAGTGTGTCTCCAGTCATACCATACTTGTCCATATGATAATGATCTATCCGTAAGATGTGGTTTTGAGTTCTTTTCCAATGTTGGTCATGAGCTATACAGTACTAAGTGATCAGTGCTCATCTCTCTGACAGAGAATTAAGAAAGGACCAAAAGTACAAACCTCATAGACCTACACAAAATGGAAAAATGTCATTAGAATTATGTTCTAACCAATATTGAATAATTTCCATGTTATCAAACTTTTGTGATATTGGTTAATACTACATTTGATTTCTCAAATTAAATTTTGTGATAACATCAATATTTTTTGGGGGGGTGGTTATTTGAGACTGAGTTTCACTCTGTAGTTAAGGCTGGGCTTGAATTCACTATGTAGCCCAGGCTGACCTTGAACTTGTGATGATCCTCCTGCCTCAGCCTCCTTGGTACTACAGTTACACATGTGCATTACCACACCACCCTTAATGCCATCAATATTCTAATTTTCAGTTAGTTCTGTAGGGGAGTGGATACTTAAAAGGTCAGGCTATTTTTGTTTGTCTTACTATAGTTAGAATGTAACTATAAAATATAATTTACTGCCATGTATTTCCTAAGGTGTTTACTTGACGTTCTCCTATCATCCCTTGTAAATTATAAGAAACTGACTGTTGTATAAATGTTCTAAGTACAGGAGTGAGTCTTTCTTCTATAGGCATAGGGGCACATGCACTCTGGGAGGCTGAAACAGGAGGATTATAAATTCAAACCCAATCTGGGCAACTTAGTGGAGCATGTTTCAAAGTAAAAAATAGAAAAGGACTGAGTAATGTAGCTCAAGGTGAAAGCTCTAGTTTCAATCCCCAATATCGGGGTGAGAAAAAAAAGAGAAGAATTTTCCCTTTTAATCACTGTGATTGATATTATAATCTCAGTACCAAAATAGTCATTTTATAGGTGAGGAAAGCACTATTCAGGTTAAATAATTTGCCCAAGGTTACATAGCAGACATAGAATTTGAAACCAGATGCAGGGATGGTTCAAAATACTTAAATCAATCAATGTAATACACTATATCAATAGAGCCAAGGACAAAAACCATATGATCATCTCAATAGATGCAGAAAAAGCATTTGACAAA